AGAAATCATTATCAGGTTCCCATATGAGAGATACAGACATCAATCCAAAATAACATGAGGTCCCCCCACCAGGGGCTGGCTGGAAAGACAGAAGGCACGCTTGCTATTGACAATAAATAAACCCCAGTCAACTGGGGAGGTAAGTGTGTCATTATTGCCTCTTGAGTTCTACTTGTTCTTGCTTTTAATATTTTTTCTTTTTTTAATTTACCAGATTTGGTTGGTATGTTGGGGAGGAATATTAGGATCCTCCAGCTGACTTGGGACCTGGATTTGAAATCATTTTTCAGCTAATTTGAAAATGTCATGATTTTATTTTGTGGAAACATTGGCCCTACAACACAACAATCTTCTGGTAGTCATTATGGGAGAAATCATGATACAGAATGACCCACAGGGCCTAAAAAAACTGTATGAAAGTTTAAAATTAAGACACATCGGAAGGCTGAGCCATAATTTTAATGCTTCTGTCTGGCCTACAGGTAGTTTCTGTAAATAAAGTTTTAATGGGCAACAGCTACATAATGTCTGTGGCTGCTTTTCATGCAAGGGCAGAATTGAATAGTTGCAGCAGAGACTAGATGGATGGCCTGCATCTAAAATACTTATTAGACTGCCCTTTACAGCAAAGCGTGGCCAATCTCTGATAGAATAACGTCCCTTTCTGTGTATGTTGCATGTAGCCTTTTCTGGAGCCTCAAGTGGTCCCTGTCACCTGGCTGATTCATTAGTCTCATGTTGTGCTGCTGACACACTGGAGCCAGGACAGATGGGCATGAGAAAATACCTGCCTTGCTATTTTCTTGGCCGTATTCACCAAAGGCTAGAATTTCAATCAATAGGGTAGTAGGTGACTGTGAAAGAGTGTTCTACTGTGTTGTCAGAAAAGTCATGATGCATTTTTGCTTGGGAAACATGGGAAAAAATACGTCATGGCATTTCTGACAACCCAATAGAATGCTTAGGGCAGAAATTATACCTAGCTGATGAAAATGTCATTTGCACATTTCCCTTGTATTGTTCAGTTCAGTGAAACCCAGTAGATGTTTGTTGAAGGTCTGCTATGTGAAGGACCTCCTAAGTCATTTCTGCCCATGTTTATTCAATTCCATTCTCTCATTCTCTCATCACCTCCCCCTCAAAGCCTCGCAAGGACCAAAGTTTCTGTTGAGTTTTTACTAGATACTTTGGTCAGGTCTTCCACTCCAGGCAGCCCCATCCCCATTGTGTGTGTGTGTGTGTGTGTGCGCACCAGTCTTTCTGCCATGCCTACGCACATGCACACACACACACACACTTTTCAACACTGACTGATGGACTGCAACAATAACATTTTAAAGGCTGAAATACCAGTCTCTACAGTACTAACCACTTAGCTCACTGTCATTATTGATACTGTGATTAATAGCAGGTAAATTTTTTTCAGTGACTTACTTGTGCCAGGGACTGCACTGGAGCTTTCTCATAAACTCATTTTCTTCTGACAGTCGTGCAGTGAGGGACACCCTTCTGTTATCCTCACTTTACAGGTGAGGTACTAGTGCTGGGATCACATATACTTGCCCAAGGCCACACAGAGCCACTGATGGCAGAGCCAGGCTGACCACCACTGCCTTTTCCATTCAGAGATGTAGGTACTGAACCCGGGAGCTCTGAGTTCCAGGTGTCCCACTGGTTCTGCCTCACTGCAGGGGATACAGCTTCCACTGATCCCCAGTACTCATCGGCCTTCTTGGTTACATTCTCCAATGGGTCTGCTTCCTGGGCTGGCCTGAGTTCTTTCCCCACCCCACCCTGCCCAGCTGCCTCAGAGCCCCATGTGCTGGCAGCCACAGGAGGTCTCTGCAGGCAGGGGAGGAGCACCTGTCTCTGGGAGCCTCCAGAGCACTCTTCCCCTCAATACAGACCTCCCTTTCTCTGGCCAGAGCACCTATCTGCAATTTTAGATCTGTGTGACCCCAAATACCCCAGGGCAACCTTCCTGCTGGGCAAAGAGTGTGTTTGTTGACACTTAAGGAAGACAAGAAAAAGGATGAGGTGGAATTACTGGCCTTAGAGGGATTGAGGAACCACAATGGGAAGTTGAGGTTAGGACAGTTATGCCAGGGAGGCTGGGTGAAGAGGACGCATCTTGAGGCCTCTTGTGCTCCAGGCATCATGCTGGCCCTATATTGCACATATGCGCGCAGACACACCTCTCATTTACACCTTATCCCATCTCTGCCTGCCAGGTGTAAGTCTCACGTTAGGAACGAGGGAACCAGGCCCTCCTAAAGATTAAGGGTCTCATTTAAGGTCATAGAACAAGAGGGTCAGACTGATATCTGAATCAGGCTGACTCTGATGTGACTCTGATGTGAGAAACCACCCATCCTCAGTCAGCGAGCCATGGTTGGAGAAGAACCACCAAGCTGGCTTCAAGGAGTCACAGCCCCAGATGGGCTCTGTCCGCAGGGCTAGGAGACCATGAAGAAATAAGTGAGCCCTTCAGGGTGGCACTTCCTGATTTGTAAGGGGATGATAACTATAGCCAGCCCACCCCACCCCAGAACTGGATGGAGACGAAGTGAAATTATGCTTTTTCAGAAAGTGGTGGCAGCCAAGGGTAGGGGCTGGAGCCATTGGATTCTCCTCAGACTGCCAAGTTTTTCCCCTGGCTGATAGCTGCTTCACATAAGGCAGTTTCTGTTTTCAATTTTGGTCACCAGGACATAGTTGTATCTTTGAATGCAGGTCATCAGTACTGCTGCCTGGATTAGCTGTGATCCCTGAAAGACTGGGAGCCGTGTTAGGCTGTGGCACATGGAGCTCAGGGACAGACGACGAGGATGTAGATATAGGCTTAAAAATGGCTAACTCTGTGTGTTTCACCACACCTTTTAAAAGTGAAAAAACAGGGCCTCCCCGGTGGCGCAGTGGTTGAGCGCTGGGTTGTGAAGCGCCTGTTCGATCCCCGGCTGCTCCCCGGCCACTGGAGGAGGGTCCCACATGGTGCGCAGACCTCTCCTGCCGCCCGCTGCTCCCCTCAGCAGTGTACTTCGGTCCTTCTGCCCGTTCTGCTCTCCGTTCTGCTCTCCACTCTGGCTCTGGTGAATTCTCTCACCTCCCGCATTTCTGACTATACCCAGTGCTTGTATAAATAAATAAATCTTTAAAAAAAAAAAAAGTGAAAAAACAATGGGAAAGACACGAGAGACAACAGGTGTGACCAAACAGTAAGGACATGGGGCCTCGGTGGCAGGTGCTGCTGGGAACTCTGCTTAGTGCCTTCTTTTCACACAGGTGCAGAGTGGCTTAGTCAGGGGTCAAGTGACAGGAATTAGGGGGAAGGAAGCTGAAGCGATGGGGGAGAAGAGGAAGTAGGTGTAGATCATCAAGGTTTCATGGATTCAGGAAATGTTTAAGGACAAACAGATATAAATCAGAGACAATGTGGTTGATAAAAAGAGCTATTAGTCATTTATAGATGTTTTGTTTATGACTAAGCAACCCCAGCCATCCAAACAGGATTCCAGAACCTTAAGAAAACGAGACTGAAGCCCACCGGCCTCTCTGCATATAATCTGTCCAGGGACACCTGGTCATAGACGTTCTGGGCTGGCTTCTCCCTCATGTCCTGGGCACACAGGCAGCCACCACTTCCCTGGGAGCACAGATTTGGGGGAGTGTGTCATTAAATTAATTGACACTGCATTTTCGTCTCTTAAAGTTTGAACGGATTCCATCTGGAAAACATTAAGCACATGCCTTTTTGCAGATGTGTTAACCCCATTTTAATTATGATACAAGTCTCGACTGCCAAATGGCATTTCTTGCAAATCTCTCAGTAAAATATGATTGCCATTCACTGGATGGGGCATGTGTGTAAACAGAGACTGTGGCTGCAAAATTCTTCTTCTTCTTTTGGCTCAGAACTGTACCCATGCACACAGCAAACCCAAATCACAAAGTGAAATGATCTCAGAGAAAGATTCATTGACTCCATGAAGAATTACCTGAAACTTTATTGAGAGCCTTTGCAAAGTATGGGTTTTGGAGTTCTGGCTTCAAACCCTCTGGTGGGTAACAATGATTCAGCCCCTCTGTCGTCCCCACCTGTGATCCCAGCCACACTCCTCTCTCTCAATCACAACAACCTTCTGTCCCCAGCTCCCCAATGGGCCATGGCCTCATGGACACCCTGAAAGTGTTTCTACTTGGTGTGCTTGCTGACAAGGAGCACCCCAGATGGGCAGGACTCTGAAAGAAGGGATTGGGGAAGTGGCTTTGAAGACTAATGGGATCTAGAACAGTGATCTGATAGTCATTGAACCCGTGGCCCAGGAAAGTGGAGGTTCCAGCAGCAAGGTAGTCCCTGATAAATGTGGACTGCAAGCATATTCTGGGATTGTCACATAGTGACAATGTGACTTGACTCTCTAGGAGAGGGTAAGTGCCTTAAAATAAGAACTGTGTGTTCCTCCTTTGCAGCTCTCATCCCTGCAGGCTACATGTAAGACAAGTGTGTATATTTTGGATGAACAGATAAATAAATGCTCTCCTTTAGAAAGTCATGGGCAGTTTGTGACTTTGTTTCAGAAAAGCAAATGTTTCATTGAGCTGGGTCTAGAAAGCGGTTCTCAAAGTGCAATGTGAGGACTCCAGGGAGGGTCCAGGAGGTCGAAACAACTTTTCTAATATTAACACATCACTTGCTCTTTTTACTCTTAGGAATCTACAGTGGGGTTTTGCAGATGGTTTAGATATTTGATAACTTCATCACTTAGAAACCTAATGGAATGAGTGCTTGTGTATTTAAAATTTCCCAGTTTTAACCACATAGGCAAGAGTTCGTCAAAGTCCTCAATAATTGTGAAGAGTGTAAAGGGTTGCTGGAACCAAAAAGTTTGAGAATCTCTGGGCTAAGTCATGTGGGTTAGATAAGACCAAAATGATGACCATCCAATAGACCTCAAAGAAAGGTCTAGAAGCAGACGGTAATCATCTGTTCTTTTTTGCAGGAAAAACTGCATAGAAAATCTAATGGATGAAGATGAGAAAGACAGGGCAAAGAGGTAAGAAGGCTTTGTCTTCCCTCTGCAATGTTCTATGTGGTCTGTCAGTCTGAACCTTGCTTGTCCTCACCAAGTACAAGTGAAAACACTCACAAGACTCTGTGGGACATGCCCCAGGGTCCTAATATCCTTGAAATAGTGAAGGGCTATTTTAAAAAATATTTAAACCAGCTCCCTCAATTTTGCTTACTAACCTGAAATTCCTCATTGTTGGGGACTTGCCAAGTGATTTACATTTTTAATATAATTCATTAACCCTATTGACCTGTTAGAACTCCTTTCACCAGCCCTGGTTACTACTTTTATAGGACAGCCATTTCCAAGCAAAGCAGCCTGATTGCAGCCAGGCAGACCTGGGTTCAAATCTTGGCCCTGCTGCTGGGAACTGTCTGGCTTTGGACAATAATAGTAAGAATTGTTCCCATATGTTGAGCATACAGTAATCCTCTGCACTGTGCTAAGCATTTCCAATGTATTATCTATATTGCGTTTAATTCCCGAATATTTGCTTTGAAAAATCAGGGAGCAGGGGTAATGGCCAGAGGTGTAGATGAAATGGGATTGGCATGGACATCAGAATTTTTGAAATTGAAGAGCAGCGATGGGGGTTCATTCCACTCTTATATCTACTTTTCCATATGTTTGAAAATGCTTTATAACAAAAATGTAAACAAATACTCCCATTTGTGTTGAAATAACAGGACTTTCACTTAGCATTAGGAACCAGGGCTCCCCAGAACAGTGTTTTTCAAACCTTAGACCACAGCCTCTAAGGGTTGCAAAAATCCATATAAAAATCAAGCAACATGTAAATGAATATACTAGGACCAGACAGAGTGGAATCAAGTTCTCTTGTCCTTTGTTATGGGCAGGCTGACTTCCAGTTCTTTGTTCTGGGGTGTTTTGCCCCTTGGTTTCCTCCCAGGAGCTGTGAAGGGGGCTGGAGGCAGAGATCATAGCTGCATTCCTGGCTTGTCTTGTATGAGCTACAAACACCTTCTCTTTGTTGACCTCCACTTTCTCACCTGCAACACAAGAGTGATCATTTCTGTTCTGCCCCCTCTAAAGTCTTTTTGGGAGTCAGTTGCAAAATACATCAAGGAGCTTTTTTTTAAGTATTCATTGTGTGTGAAAACACGGAAAATTTTACAATAGTGCATTTACAAAATATTCTCATTAGCAATGAGATCTGCATTGGTGGTTTGCATTCCCTGAGAACCTTCTGTGCACCCTGGTCCTCTTAGGTGCACAGTTTCAGGCTGTCATCTTATATGCATTAACTCCTGGCATATCCGCAGCATTCCTTTGAGAAGTGTATCCTTGTTATTCCCTTTTTACAGATGAGGAAAGTAAGACTCCACAAGGTTAAGTAACTTGCCAGGCATCATAAAACTGTAGTAAGTGGCAAAAGCAGAAGTTGCATACAGGATCCCTAAACCTTAGTCTGTGTTCCTATCCCCCAGACCACAAGCAAATCTCTTCATGTGTCAACTATAGTTGATCCTTGAGCAATCGAAGTTTGAACTGCTTGGGTCTACTGATAATGAAGTTTTTTTTATTTTCTATCGTTGGGTTCCACTTTCACAGATTTAACCAACCATAGATGTGGAACTTGTAGGTACAGAGGGAAGACTATAAAGGATTTGAACATCTTCAATTTGGGGGATGGAGTCAGGGGAGTTTCAGTGCTTGTCTGTAGCCTCTGAGTTATTCAAGAACCAACTGTAATACAGTCTACCTGGCACATCTGGACTATAAGCTTGCCCTGTTGTGACTTTGGAGTCCACAGGCATTTTGCTTTTACCATCATTTACCTCCCACAACCCCCACTCTCAGCCCTGCCTCTCTACTGTACTACTTACTTGGAAATCAAGAAGAGAGAATATGCACGTTTGGGCTCCACCATACTCAGAGATCTCCAAATACAGACATTCCAATCAAATCTCGGCTAAAAAAATTCTTAGGAATTAATCAGATCGTATGTCATTTCTTTCCATTTATTCCCATCCCTATTTGCTTTGAGCCTTGGGTACCCTCCACCACCCCCACCCATATGCCCCCCACCACCTAGTTGGAAACTCCCCTGCATAGATGCTAGTTGGAGAGGCTGCTGTCCCTTACTCCCCCACTCATCCTCAAATGGAAAAAGGGGTTTTGAATATTTGGTAATAACTGGCTCTATTCTCAGAATAGCAGTAGTCTCCTTCATAACAGTTGGGGAAAAAAAGGACAAAACAAACGAAATCCTAAGATTGCATCAGTCTCAAAGCTTCTAGTTTTACAGGTTTTAAAACAGCAACATGGGAGGCCCTTCCCTCTAATCCCACCTGGAGGCCCGATAGGAATTGTTTTTACTCACAAGATAGTTTTGATGAGATTAGAAATGTTTAACTTCAGATCAAAATTCTCATTGTCTCCAGAAAACATTCACTGATGTTAGTCAAGGTTTTCAAAGCTTTAGGGAATTCATTGTTTATTTGGGTTGTTTAATCAACTTTTCTGAACCAGGACATGGTTCTACTTTCTTTCTGAATTTCCATTAAATCCAGCGAGTATTAAATGAGTGTTTATTGTGTGTTTAGAACTATGTGCTGTTTTCTTTAAGGAAGATATAAAAAACACAGTCCTTGCCCTCAAAAAGGAAACAGTTTGATTGAGAGTCACTTGGAATCCCTGGATAATGAGGTACACGGTTTGCCTTTTGTGTTCCATTCAAAAGGCTGTCTGATGTGACAGTTCTGTGGCATGGTGTGTTTGTGTGTGTGTGTGTGTGTGTTTATGTAGCCATCTAGGAAGTGGTGTAATGTGGTAGGAAGTTCACAGGCTTACAATCAGGCAAGCATGTTTTTGATCTTGCCACTTTTACTTTTTGCCCTTGGACAAGTTCCTAAACCTCTCTGAGCCTCATTTTCTTCCTCTGCAAAATGGGAGTGATGATTGCAGCCACTTCTCCAAGCAGTTACCACAGGAACTAAATGTAGCTTTGTAGAAGCCCCTTGGCACAGTGTGTGGTACACAGCACCAATAAGAAAACCTAAAACATAGGGAACAGTCCCTGTGTGCCTGCTCGTTTTGCATACATTAACTCTCTCATCCTCACAATATCCCCTTGACACATGACCCATAAGGCAGTTAGAAACCTAAGGCTTAGGGATCACACAGCCAGTCAGAGGCGGGCAGGGATTCTAGTTCATCAGTTTCTAAAGTTAAGTCTCTTAATTACTTTTCTTGACATTCAGTAAATGAAAGTTGCTCCTTTTGATTCCTCACATGCCCCAGGGGTGGGACAGAAAGTGCTGGTAGGAATCCTCGCTTTGCTACAAAAACAAGTTTCTGTCACTGTGGTATTGTGAAATATGGCTCACTCCATTTCTTGATAGAACTGAGCACTCAGAAAAGAACTTTTGTGTAACCTCCTCATTTAACGCATATTAAATGAATAGTTCATCAGCATTAATTAAAATTACATTTTCTTTTATCAGCTGTGTAGTTCTGCTTCCATTACGCTCAGTATTTTCATTGAAGGAAAGAGGATGAATGTTGAGTTGGGAGCATTTTGTTAATAAGGATCAATAGTGTAGGTAACAATAGCCATTCTTGGGGTTCTTGAGTGAATGCTGGGTCTGAAACACAAGCTAGCCTATTTTATTACCCTGACCCAAATCCTACATCTAAACATGGATAAAATGGTTCAGGAGAAAGGGAGAAGTTGCAACACAACAAAGAGGGAGTCTATATGTGCAATTTTTGCAGGAGTAGATGCTGAAGATGGAAAAACTTGAGCCATTCAGAGGCTGGTTGTTGCTTCTAGACCCTCAGGTGTAGTTCCAGGGACGAATGACAGGGACCATTCCCTTACACCCCCCACCCCCCCTCAACACTGACAACCTAGTATTGTTAGCTAAGTACCATAAATCCTCAAAGAATAAATTCCAGTCGATGTCATTTTGTTGTGTCTATGAGGATAAAACACTCCTGCCTGACATCAAACTTATTTGAGGACCTGAGTCAGTTATGTGCCATTTCTTTTAAAGTTGCAGTTTGCAAGAACCTGTCAATAAATTAATGTGGTAAGCAAGTGGAAGATGTAAAAAGGATACATGGCTTACCCTGCCTTCAATGAGGTTTTAGACAAATTATGTCCGGGTTCACACAAGCAAGCGTACAGGAAAAAGAACAATGTCTGCAGGGTCTGTGTTGCCCATCGCTGGGATGATGATGAGAATCTGTGAACGTTCCCTTCTCAGCCAGGTGCTCCTTTGTGCAGGGTAACATGGTTGAGAGGGGAGGTGACCTTATTTCATTGTTTGGTGTATCTGGATACACATTCTGTAGGTCTGAAAGGAATGGCCAGTCCAGTCCACAAAGATCATACCAACTTGGAGGACTTGGGCTCCAGGTGAGCACCTTGCTAATGCCCCTGTGTGTGGGCACTGTGCAGAATGACAGAGTATGACTGTATGCAGTATGTGTTGATGTTCCCAGCTGGGGTCTGGGGTGCTAATTTTGCTGTGATTTTCTTTCATAGGCTCTTGATTGAGTTTTATGTACATCACAATCATGGAAAGCTCCAGCACAGGGGGAAAATGGCAGAGAGACATTTTGGAGGCTTATTTTTTGTTTGTTTTATTTAGTGATTAAGGCAGCAGCAGGAATAGTGAAAATATAGAGGTAACAGGATACACGATTCATTTATGTTACCCTGTAATTTCCAGATGAGTGATTCTGTATTCAAAACAAAGAGGAAAGTAGAACTGTATTTGCAGGGAGAATGCTAATTCTTACTGTGGCCCAGTAAACAGCAGTAAATAGGGCCCTCCTTCTGCTTGGGATTTATGGCTTTTCCCCTGGTGGGTTCCTTTAGTTGTCTAAGAATTGTCAAAAGAAGAAATGTGTGCTTAGAAAACTCAGAAACTTGGGAATATCTTCACTCAGGGAGACCCAGACATCTCTCTAGGGACATTGGAGGCAAAGGACTATTTATTAAAAACTCTTTCTAG